AATTGGTAATTACGAATTAATATTAATTTTTTGATTTTCCAATAGATGAATAATTAATGTTACATGCAAAAAGTATTTTTGATGAATTAATAATTATAAAGTAATACTATCTTTTGGTTTATCAATAAATTAATAATTAATGTTACATGCAAAAAATGTTTTCGATAAATTAATAATTATGAAATGCTACCTTTTGGTTTACCAATAAATTAATAATTGCAAATTACGAATTAATAATTACAAAATTAATTACGATATTTTCAAGGTGGCGCCTAGGCATCTGCCTCTGGCGCCTAGGCAGGCGCCTAGCTTTTTCTGCCTAATGTAGATCGTCTTGACCATGCTTAGGCGTTTTTTGAAGAAGTCCACTTAGGCGGTCGGGCGGTTGACTTTTCATTCATTGTGCACACGTAAACATTAGTGGGAGATCTGAGTTCACCTGCTTGCCAAGATTTGTTCACGTGCAGATTGGTACCCTGGATTAAGGCCAAATAAAAATTTGGCACCCTAAATTCTTCATGCTGCCTCTTCTTTAATTCTAGATCCTAGATATAGAGTCACCTCTTTCCACATACCCTTGATAGTACCATAATACTCATTCACTCTATTGTTACCTTGTTGCATAGTAATCCACAACCCCAGATAAGTGTCAATGTAATCCACAACCCCAAACATGGTTGCATAGTAATCCACTCTTCGTATCTACTATCAGATTTACTAGGCCTGCCCTCAATCAAGTATTTTAGTTCCCCCTTGCACCAAGGGATACTTTGACACATTGAGCCCATACAACGTAATTAACTCATTTAATTTTACCAAAGTGATTTGTATCCCCACAATTTAGGAAGACTAAGGATTTCAGGTAATTTCCTTATCCTTGACCTTGAGCATATAAGATTAAGGGGAAAGAGGACAACCAGGATTGACAAATTTTCTACACTCGTGCAAGCACAGTACATTGTTAAGAACCCCTTAAAAGGATAGAGATACTTAACATTCAGGCATCAATGAACAAAGATCTCTTTGCTGATGTGCCCCAATTGTTGCCGGATGTGCCTCACAGACGAAGAGAGCGATCCCCACCTTTTTATCCACTATCAACTTGCCTACAATATGTGGAGCTTACTGCTCCAACTGTTCGGCCTGCTCTGGGTAACCCCACCCTCCCTCCCATCCCTATTCGACCTTTCACTTGACACCCCTTAGCCCAAAGCGGCAGGCTACCGTGGAAGACCTCCATAGCGGTCACCATCTGGGTTATCGAGACCGAAAGGAGCTCGAGGATCTTCCAAGGCACCAAAATCGAAGTCCCGACCCTTTTCCACAAAATCACCGCAGCGGTCATCTTATGGGCTACAAACCACAAGGCTTTCAAAGATAACCTGGCCATGACCTTTCTACACCAATGGAAAGCCCTCCTCCACAACTGTACCCTTCGGCCCTTCAGATCCAGCTGTTGGTCTCCAAACCCCATGGGCCTGACCAAACTTTACTTTGACGAGTGCTCTTGCGGTAATCCCAGACATGCAGGGGTGTGGGGTGTCTTCTGCGATCACCTCGGCAACATACTGGCTTCTTTCTCCAAGAATATCGGACATGCTGACTCACAACTTGCTGAGTCCACGGCTCTCCTTTCTGGTCTCAAACTCTTCGACCCCTCATGGGGTCAACCATTGATTATCGAAGGAGATGCTCAAAACGTTATCACCTAGGCCTCATGCGCAGCTTCTTGTCCCTGGTATCTTGCTACAATTTTTGATGAGATTACTCTTATTTGCAGGGATATGGCCGTCTTATGGCGGCATACCTAGAGGTAATCCAACGCCTTGGTAGATCAGCTAGCTAATGATGGAGCGCTATCCAGTTTTGCAGGATACAGTGTGCCTTGATCTTTTGACATCTTTGGTTTTCCTTTTTCTTTATTTTGAGTTTTTGGTGCTAATTCTTACCCATTTTTTTGTAAAAGGCTACCACCCTTGGTAAGTCTATTCTTTTGGCAAGAGGCCCGGTTTGCGGGTTCCCTCTTCGCTTTTATGTACTTACTCTTGGATTTATAGAACAATTAATAATTTCCAAAAAAAAAAAACAAAACAAAGATCTCTCTGTTAGAACTCACAGATGAACCTCAATAGGCCACCTACCGGTTTAGTCACACACTTCTCTCGACTTTCGATATCTAAGAGAGGAAACTTCAGTAACACAAACATCCACGGCACTCACAGGCCATACTGGCCTTGCAAAAAGGAAAACTAGGTACCCCATGACTAGATCAGCATTAACAGGGTTAGAATTTCCCCTTTCTTTCTGAAAGGAAAAAGGACGATGAAAGGAAAGGGGATGAAGGGGGGAAATGAAAGTAAAGGGGAAGATGAAAATGTCAATTTAGATTTGCTTTGATATCGGGCCAGAGAACTTAGAGAGAAAGAGAAAAGAGAAAAATTATGGGAGACATGAGACTGAGAGAGAAGAGAGCGATATGAGAGACCTGAGGGACGGAAGAGAATGTTGGGAGGTATGCTTGCACTTCACGC